CAACAGATGATTTAAGCGAGTTTTCTCCAATTGCATTCTATGGTAAATGCTATGTTTTCGCAGAGTTCCCAAAAGAACGCACCTTACAGTAGTCGGAACCTCGCGCCACAAACGCATATAATTATACTATGATCCCATGCAGCACTCGGTGGTCAAATTGGACATGTCTGCGAAAATGACTCGCCCCTACACTATTATCTTCGGGCCCATTTTCCACGCTCAGCGACAACTAATGCTGTAATAAGGCGTTGCATAAAGTTTGTGAGGGCTGGAAGTAATGTGAAGTGCTAATAACATCCCAGGAGATTTGTTAAGGCTTATCAATTTATGTCAGAAGTGTGGTTGGTAGCGGTCTTGTACACAAGAAGCCCGAGGTTTCTGTCTTATAGGGACCGTGGGAATAGGGTCTTATGGGTAAGAAAAGGACTTTGTAAAATTTAGTGCAAAAAGTCGTAAAACTCTTTTGAGATATTTTAATGTGGCGACTATACAGCGACGGCGTTGGGCGCGTAGATCGAAAAAAGGTGCGAAAAACAAATCGAGCTCGACAAACCTCGAAATGTCGAGTTTTATTTGTCGGCTAGACAGGCAAATTAGAAATGACGGTAAACAGTTCTCTTAGTTTTAATCTAACGAAAGAAGTGAGCATGTATGGGGAGATGTTGCGGCGAGTAGTTGGTGGTTAGTAGGTATTCTGTGCCGAGGTTTATGCGAGTGTTTAGCTAAATAACTATGGGCCACGGTAACTTCTACCTTAGTAGTAATGGATGAGACTGAGAAATGCAAAGCAAAACGAAGGAACGACAAAAACAAAAGCATCAACAACCGGGGCTCGCATATTCGCTTCGGGGTGTGAGAATCATCGATATTTTTTACTAATCCCCGACCAGGGCTGACATTAATATTCAAAGGGGTGGTAAGCATTGTGACGAGCGCGAACGGGGGGTTTACAAAGTGATAACGACGTGATTGATAAGCTAGTTTGGCCTTCTGAAACAGTAGTGTGTAAATCTACAGATGCTGAATATCACAGTTGTGTTACAGTTACGTCGTATTCCTTTGTGAAATCTAACAGCATAGCGCAACCGCGAAAATAGGGCAGTTATAATCACCAAGAAAACGTCTTCGTACCCGTTCGTAGTCAGCCCGTGCTGACTTAAGGCGAATTTTGGCTTGGCTGACTTCCATTTCCAAGTCCACACACTGGGACCGGGATCTAGAGTGAAAAACAGGTTTGTGTAAGTCGGAATTAAAAAAACGTGGACAAAGTTTATGAATACAGTCCTGGGTCCAAAATCAGCACACGAATGTGTGCACACAAGCATTTCATAAAAAAACGAGAGTTACTACGTAGGGTTTTGTCAATCAATCCATCATACACAAGGAGAAGCTTGAATAAGTACTTGGTAAGGTCAAACATAAATGTGACAATACTGAGACAAGTGACCAAGCCAGTTCCAGAAAGTGATTGAGAAGGAAACCAGCATTTTATTCGCCGGCGCTTCAGATTCAAACTGGGACCCACCCTCAAATACAGCAGTAGGATCGTGAGAGTAAAAGGGTTTCGATGTTTTTAAGATGATGTTGTCGTGCAATCAAACGGCAACCACGATTATCAGCCTACACACTCATTGTCGATGGTCGTATCTATAGCAGTGGTTGTTTGCTCACTCACATCCTAGTTGATAGTCGCCTCAAGTTCACAACATATTTTGTTTTGTTTTTGATCTGGCTTAATGCGTCTACATTTGTATAAAATGCCCTCCCTTTTGCTATCCATGCCACCAACTACTCTGCGTAGACACTGTTTCGGGTCTGGACGTGGATGGGCAGGTCATTGCATTTGTCAACGCATTGTGTGCCGGAGAACCGTGGGTGAAGCAGCCCGCCATTCGCACGGTTGTCCCAGCTCACGTGCATTATGGCCGTAGCAATTTAGCACGAGTTACAAATTGATAGGCGGCAACGTTCCTCTTCGCTGCTGCATGTTCGGTTATCCGCGTCCTGAATAAGCTTCTAGTTCTTCTGACGTATTCGCCTTGTTTGTAGTCGCATCAGATCCGGTAAGCGACTCCAGACCTTTCGGCTACCTGATAGTTGCTCATGGTCTACATAATATGGAGCGGCTTGAGAAGACAATTGGCAGACACCTAAACGTTATCGACGTGTTGGATTTCTCGTATATGTTTTGAGGTTAGTGCGGTTTGGCCTATTGTTTCTTATTACGTTTCTTATTAATCACGGAAACTGTCTTCGGGCAAAAGAACATATCGCATGGAAGGTACAAAAAAATAATAATGCTTCCAGTATCAGCATCGGCGAGCTAGATCGCTGAGCAGTTATCATGCAGATATCCAATAAAATGATACAGTTGGGAGTAATAATAACTGGGGTAGAGAATATCAAGCAACCACCGCCACAAGCACGCCCACCGGCGAATAGGTAGGTTACGGTCGTATAGCAGCACCATCCTATGAATACCTAGAACCTTGCATACTCACTATCTTATCTGCGGCTGACCCTGTTTATGGATTTGTTTGTTAATATGAAACGCCATGTGAGTAAAAGCCTACATCCGGTGACTAAGTTTCCTCCCTCTCATTTGTGTTGTTGAATTAAATTAAAATTGTACAGTCACATTTTATTACCTATACAATTCCTCCTCTTTTGCGATGAGCTGTTTCTTCAAATTTTCATAAACAGCTTCCAGGCTTTGACGATGGTCAGTTTCTTCATTCAGTTTCATTCTACAAAAAGAAAACACTTTTTCTCACAAAATGGAAAAGGTGCCTACTGCGGGACCAGAAGAGGCTAAGAAACAACTGCGAAAATGTGGCTAAGCGGTGACTGAAGGCTTACAAAAGGACCTACTTGAAAGAATAAATGTCTGGATCCTGAACTGGGAAAGGTAAGGTACGGATAACATTGGGCATTTTTTAATTTTCGAATTAACAACCCAGTCACTGGTTAAGTAAAGGTTCCATGAAAGTAAAACACCCGATTTTCGGGTCAAATAACAAACCAATCCGCCAAACGTAAGCGGATTATTATTACAGTAATCCTTAAAGTGGCATTAAGGAGGAATACTTCCAGGTCTGGGTAATAGTATTAAGTTATCCTCCTCTCTCTACAGCATATCCATCCAGGTTTGACCTCGTACGTTTTTCTACACACGATATATGACAGAAAACAGCCGTTTCAGTTTATGAAGCAGTACACCATTCACCATTAGTTTCAGCAAAATAATGCAAACAAACCTACCCATACTACGACTAAACGTAAAATACGTACGTCAGGATCGATTTAAACCATCAATAGCAAATATGGATTACGAAGCTGACGCGAATTACTGAGGTTACTGTTTAGACGCTTTGAAGAAACAACAGTTTTCTGATAAAGGGCGTTCCCTATTTCTAGAATCGTGTACTCAGGAAGTCATCGCAAGTGTGCACTTTCTATCTGAAAGTATTTCCTTTTCTTTGCTGCCAGCGGAGTAACGTGGTTCAAACCACAGTAATCTCTTCTTAGAAGTGTGAGATAAGAAAAAACCGGTAACTATCAAAACTGGACGACGCTGTCATTCGGCTGAACAGCAAAACGGCCAGCGCGAATTCAGGGGCAGTGCTGCTGTTTTGTTCTGTGAAGCACGAGTTTCCCCGTTTCCTTTCGTCAAAATTTCAAAACTTTTACTCTCTTATCAAAACACTATCAGGTGGAGGCTATTTCGTCCCCACTGAAGAACCCTGCGGTGAATCTTGTATTCTATTTCCTAGTTAGGTGCGGACTGCTGAGACTGTTAAAACAAGAGGTATGCTCCTCGCAAGTCACGCTAAACACTGCCCACTACATGAACTACACACGTGACTGATGTTTTTCATCAATAAACGCCATCCCTAATACAGGAATGTCGTTTTGCTTATACCGGAATTCATTTAAATCAGGACGGAAGACTATCAGGTAGACAGGTAAACAAGCACAAATGGCTCACCGGAGTAAATTGCATTCGGCCGTAATTTCTGAGACATCCTTCGGAACAGAAGTGGATTCCTCGCTGGTCGTGGCCTCTGCCTTCAGGACGGCTTCGGCAAGTTGAGTGCGGGCCTTGTCGAGTTCCACCTCCACCTTCTGTCGCGCACGGTGTTCCCGCTCCAGAGCTCGCAGAGCTTGAACCAACTTCTCCTCAAAACACACGACTGAGGAAGTTTCCTCGACGTCTGAAATGTTGAAGTAAAGATTCGAGATGGAGGTGAGAAAACGGGTCGTGTAAATAAATAAATAACATTAAATATGGCTTCATTCCAGTCAATAAGTTTTGTACAAGTAGTGAGTTGCTCTGTTCCCTACTAGCTCATGTGACAATCAGGATGCTGTCGGAGGACCTATTTCTTAAGAAAACGACCATAGAGGACAGGAAATTTTAAAATGATGGTTTCCAGCATGTCTGAAATCGTCTGCCGGTCACTAGCCATTCACAATCAGGTGAAACATAAAATATCTGCGGAGGCACAATTTGCGCAGTAGTTTTTAATTCCCGAATATGGGAGGATATAGAAGTAAAAGTTATCAAAATAGCGGGACATGAAAAAGAAAAGAACTTGCTTGGTTCTTGTCGGGTAAGCCCCTTTGGAGCAGCATCGTAGACACTCGAGTGGTTCGTGTTGGATGTCAGGGAGGCACCTACCCGCGATATGTTTTCCGGCACTTTTCTAAAATATTATGACAAAAAATGAAACTAAAAAAGATAATAAGACAAATCCGGTATTTTGAATAAATGCGAAAATTACTTACCCAAGCATAAATAAATATATGGATAAAAGTTTATTAATGTCCAGGAGTGAAAATCAAGTATTGGTGAACCATACGTGCAGACGGACTTACTAGATAGTCATAGAGACAATTACGTTTAAGTTCATCGAAACCAGTAATTAATTAAATTCCTATTGTGCACTTATCACGCACTAAGTCCGCGTTGCCTACGCAGTAATCAAACATTACACCTCTAATCAAGAACTCCTACGGTGAGTCTCTGCCCAAAACATAATGGGGCTCAGAATGCTCCCTTGCGGAACCCCAATTGGAACGGTTTCCCACTTCGATTCGGCGTTACCAATCCAAACACGCTGACATCAGCCAGTGATAAGGTAGGGAGTTCAAAAATACACACCTACATTTCCTTCAAATAAACTGAACTGAACACTATTCTTCATCGAACATAAGCAAGGGTGTGTTTTAAAGTCCCCAGAGGATTACATGAGAACGGGAACCACCCGACAATGCAGTTGCCTATGCGCTAAATTTCATGGCATGTTCAGAATTAGGGTCTAGGTTCGGGTTAGTATTAACTGTAGAAATCGTGTACAGGGTCTCTCTTATCTCCTTCTATGCTTGTGGGGTGCCAAATAGGGAATCCTTATGCGAAGAAAAGTTTAATGAATGCTACTGAAACCTATAACCATTGTGCCGTTACTAGAAAACTAGTTTATAGGGTTTGCGCTACTTATTGCCCCTAGAAGTTTTGTGTTGTCCATTTCCTAGTTTTCTACCACACGAAGGTATAAGCGAGTGATAGACTGAGCTGTCTAGATCATTCTCATAATGACGCTTGATAGCAACGAAAGAGAGGGTTGTGAACCTCTAAAAATAGCAAAGAACGCGACCAAAAGGAAAACATACGAATGCAACATTTGCCGAAGTCTTTCAACGCTTGAGGGACGACTGCTGGGTCTGACAGTCTTCTGAGTGAGTGTATGCTCGTTGGAAGATGCAGGAGGGCTGCTTTGGAGAACGGGTGCGGACTCAGTGTTTTGGGTCTAATAAAGTAAAACAACGTAGTATAAAGGAACGTGCCATGCTTTAAACCTCTTAGCTCGTTTTGCTAAGGCCTATAAAATTAAATATACAGAGCAGACTTCGGAGAGTACATCAACAAGACACTCACAACAATTGGCGTCCGATAGCATCTATATCCTATTTTTCCAGCGTTATTTCAGGGGCGCGAGAATCTCGAGAACTCTGATTTGAATCTGGCCTTTCTGAGACTGTATTTGAACTAACTGTTGGTGACGAGTGCACCAAAAACATCTTTTACTACACGTTTTTCAGTTACCCTCACGAGAGTCGGCATTGCTAGGGCAAGTTCATCTGTAACATTTTGTAGCTTTTGTATACATGCAAAATGAAATATAGGGCAGCTTTTTTATTCTTGACATTCATTCAAAGGCTGAATTTGCTACAAGTGCAATTTTGAAAGAATCAAAGTTGCAAATGACCACTTAAGGGGAACGTTTGAGATATGGGAACTGAGCATAAGCCTAAAAAGTGATTATAAGACGCAAAGTACGAGACGCACCTCAAATCCAGAAGATTGGTTTTGCTTGACGTCCGTGTCTGTGACAACAGTTTGTGTGATTTTAAGAGACCGAGATTCCGAAGGCAGGTTTGCTATTCCGGTACCCGTAGAATCACCCTCAGAGAACTGCTTTAACCATTCTGCGTTGACGTACAGAGGCTCAGCAGATAAAGGGGTACCAGGTGACAAGCAGACGGACTGCTATATAAAAGTAATAATAAAAAAATGTATAAGACATATATAATGTATTGGGAGGCAGCCGGATAAAAACGTTAGCGAGAATCCTTGCACAGGAAATACTAGAAAGCTAACGTTTCTGAGCAAATGTTAGCCTATAGGCAAGAAAACATTGCAGTGTTTTATAAGCAGCAAACTTTAGAAAAGTAATAGTACGCAAGGCCAAAAGTGTAGAAATTATAGAGAATTTCTGCAATGTACGGAGGTATGACTGATGTATGCAGCGAAAAGGACAATATTCTGTTTAACAGCCGAGCAACACTGAGCAGTAGAATGTTACCTAAATTTTGGCAAGCCTCCTCATACCTTACGAGTCGATAGAAAGCGTGCGGATTGATGCATTTTGCCTGACCTGAGTGTTTAAGCTCACCCATTAACCCGACAGTGTAGACCAAGGCCACGAGTGAAAACCAGTCTGTCGCAGAGCAAACGAGTTGCAAGTTAGTAACGTACACGTATTATATAGAAGCCCCCGCGGGACCCCCTGATCAATTTAAACAAGTCACCAACCATAGGATTAACCACAACCGCTCGTTTAATTTTGCCAAAACACTTATAAATGCAACGGTAAGCGGAAAAACAGACCTCCTACTCCGCGACGAATGAGGCTGACATGTAAATTGTATTATGGATCTCATATCGTGATAATATATAAACACCGGTAGTGCGAATTCAAAATAAACGGAATTATAGATGGTGGAGGATCGTTAAGATAGACCCTGAATAAACTTACATGAGCATTTTCCTCTTTCTTTGAGTGCGATGAGTTCGATGCGAAACTAAAACAGTCCTCCGTTCTTTCCTCGATAGGCGACAGACCCGCACCCGCCTCATCGCTCTCATATCCTTGAGAACGGTATAAACCTGTCGACAGTGTCCTAGACACGGTCTATAGGAGGGAAAAGAAGGATACACCGGGCAGGGAGAGAAAATAATATCGGGCCGCAATAATAAAAACCTCGTGTTCCTTGCTCAAAACCCATATTGTTAGACGTAAATGGAACATCGCAGCCTATAATAACTAGACAGAGTCAAGAATTAGAAAATGTGCAATACATAAATATATTGAATGAACTGCAGGCATTCGAAATCACACTGATTCTCTGCTTTTGTTATATCACCTACTTGATTATATGTTCATCAATTGATAAGTCAAGTGTTGACTAACGTGTAGAACCTTCTGTTAAAACCTGCACAAAAGAGCGTTTGCCTTACGTACGATACTGAAACTAACTGTGATCCTAACAGCCCCTAGATACTAAGAGAAATGCAACATAAATGGAAAAGATTTTTATGCTCTGACTAACCATCTGAACCGACATAGCATGGACGTCTCTATTGCTCGAACGTTCAACGTATGGAGCCATTTCCTCCTCGTCTTCATAGTCTATTGCCTGCATTAGATTCGTCACGGGTTTGTCAGCTGTACTGACACCGATAGCGTCACTTTTCGCCGCAGTTGGAGACGGTACTTTGACCGTTGGTTTGGATTTCCAATCATCCTGCTCGGAGGTGACCTCGTCGCCTAACATGGGAATTTCATCACCATCCGACGTGGATGAGGAGTCCCACCGGTCGTCAACCTCAGGTGTAGGGGGCTGTTAGAGGAAGGTTAAACAGCAATAATTATAGAGCTGTCGAGTGAGGGCATGTATATTTTAAATATCCAGACCAGGTTGCATGAATCAGACTTATTGGCAAGAGAAGTGTTGGGACTCATTTGCGTTAAAGGGAATACCACACTCACAATTGTAAAGATCGCCATGAGCTCTGTGTGGTCTTCAGACGAACAAATATGTGATGAAGGACTCATTATTTGCGCGGGAGTGGCGCGTTTACTGGCCTCTTGGTTTTAGAAAACGTAGTACAAACTGCCAACTGAAGCACAGAGGTAAGTTGCGGGAAGCGACTGTCTCTGATGATGAATACGAGTGAGAATCCGAGGCGCCAGGCCAAGACAATTCCCATTTCAGTGATCGTGTCTTATTCTAGTGGAAACGAAAATATTTGATTTGGCTGCCGAGCTCCAGTCTAGAACCTATGACAATATGGAACACGCAGATTTCGTTCTGCAATTACTTTATAAATTGTTAACAGAGGGCACAATTCAGCGTAATGCCATCAAGCACAGACGCGAGCATCAGTTTGCGAAACTAACTGGCACGTAAAGTTTGAAAGAGCGGAAGCTATAGCATTCATAGTAAAATCCGTAGACAAGAGCTGAACAGATGTAACACCACATGCTATAAAGGGATTTCCTTTCAGGTTGCAGAGTCAACGAGTTTAAAAAAGTCCAGGGCATCAATTGTTACACAAGTGTGGGTTCCAAATCCGCTTATATATAATATTTGAAAAGAGACCCGTTCGTGTCTTAATGTGTCCTCGACTGCTACTGCTAAAGCCAATACGCGTACGCTATCACAGAATTGACCTCTTGTTCCATCAGAGCACTCAGAAAATGCAGATTATGTTCTCGAGATGAGCAGTGGTAATTACGAATGGTTATCGCACTCTACCGCTGTAATTTAGTTTTGTTACCAAACAGAGCAGGTACAGCGATTGCACTTATCCGCTCTTAGGAAATCGAAACAGTATAAAATACGACGCAGACACACTGCACACTGGAAGTAAAGCCGGATAGGGTATAAGGTTAACTAAGATCTTACCTTGGGTTTGTTTTCTGGTAGTGGTAACTTAGTTTTTTCAGCCTGCTGAAACCCGGGAGAAGATTTTAACCACAAGCTTCCAGCATTGGGAGGTCGGGGAGTTACTACATCCTCTTTTCCCGAGGCAATTTCAGAGTCAGAAGAATCCCAGGGGCTTTGATTGGAAGCTGGTCTTTCTAGGGCTGTTTTTGAAGCAAGTCTGGGTGAGGAGTGCACAACAATATCCTTTACTCCAGGTTTTTCCTCCTGCTGCTTTTCCTCTTCCTCTTCCTCAGATTGATCCAACCCAAGCTAAAAAAAACACAGGGACTTAGCATTCAAAAGGATGTAGACTACGAAGAAAGGAATTCCCTTTGACAAACATATGGCATAATTGATATTTCAAGTAACAGCTAAAGTACTTTGTAGATTTAAAATGAACGTAAATTTTGGACTGAGAGATAGAAACGAACGGACGTGAAAGTTTAGCTGGTCACCCACCTTAGATAGCCCGAGACCCAGATTTCTGCCATACGAGACCGGTACTATCAGTTTGGTTTTTTAGTTTATTATTTAGTTTCATTTTTGTTTATTAGTTTCGTCAGTTTCGTTGTGCTTAGCTTAGTTTACTATATAGTAGTTATTTAAGAATATTTATCTAACTTTGGCGATATCTAAATAAACTGAAAACTAAACTAAAACTTAGATAAAACTAATAAAATTGAAACAAACCACGGGACTAGGGGCTATGGATACTTCAGGGGGGCTTCTTGTTTTTATGCTAAAGTAACAGAAATATCGGCTTACGGAAAATCTCAATTGCTGGCGAACGCGCGCAAAGGCAGAATTTGTGTCCATTGTCGCCGGTTGGGGACCCTTTGCGCTGTTATTGCTATCCCAATCTGATTTATCGCAGTCGGAATCTGTTTGATATTCTGGTTCCTTCTTCCTTGAGGGTTTTTCCTCCTCCGAAGAACTTTCAATCTGAAGAACAAAAGGAAGAATAAGAAAGGTGACCATGCCAATCTCAGCTGACATTAAGTAGGCCCATGGGCGAGACCTCAGCGTATTGATCACCCCACTTGTGTACAAACCCCTGACGTGCTGCTTGGGATCATGGTAACACTGAACAGTGGTCCAGAAAGTGCAATTTCGGTGCAAGTAAATCTTCTGAGTGAAAGAGGGAGGGTGTTTTACGCACGACCCATGATGTGCACGGATATTACATTAATGACATGATTAAGACCCATTTCTGCTACTGCTCTTTGACTGTGTCTCTGATGACGAATCCGCGACGGATCTCGAAACGTCAGGCGAATAAAAGCATTGTCCCAGCGATCGAGTCGTCTTTTTCTCAATGATTAAGTTTGTTATAAACTTCGAGTAATACAGTTCCAGTTTTACAAATGAAAAGTGGTCGCGTGACCTGTTCTAGCAAAATATTCTTTTTTGATAGCATCTGCTGCTGTTACTGGCGTTGTTTTTGCGCTGACGATTGATGATGTTGATAATGACGACAACGAAGATGATGAGGATAGTCGTAGTGGGGAGTGGTGGGGGGTGATGATGACGATGGTGATGGTAATGATTCTTGACGAAAGAACCTCATTATGGTGTATGGGTACATGCCAATTCTACAACTGTTTCCAGCCATGACAGTACCATTTCCGTTATCTGTCCAACTATAAATGTCTTTGAAAAAATCAAACGGCAACAACAAGCTGCCTTGAATTTTCAGTTGAAATAAACCAAAAGAAGGTAGCTTCTGAATTAATCATTCGAACTAATTATAGCGACGTTTGAAAGCAGGGAAGGGTTTTTAGCAAAAAAAGTGGTGAAAAATTAAGGCCACGTTAGAACGACAAACTAATTTGCTAAAGTAAAAGCAGAAAGGCTTTAAAATAGTATTATCTGATCGAAAACAACAAGGGCACGCCTTATTTTGGCAAACAAACGCAAGTCGGCCTTTAGCTACTCAATAAACAAAGATGCGAAAAGGGGTGCCGGTAATAACAAGGAGGGCCGGGGTGATTATTTCAGACATAGAAGGCACCGTCAGCCGGCCTTATTCAAGCCGCGTTTTGCAGGGCCCGAGATTCAAATCCGTTTTTTCTGCTAATCGAGCGTGACTAAATTCAACGCTTTAAAATTGTAAACACAGGCCCGTTGACCCGTTGGTTACAATCGAAAAGATTAAGTATGCTAGAAGTCCGTTCGCCGATTGAGTTACGGAAGATTCTGGTCCAGGCTAGAGTCGAGCAGTAGCCAGGTCCCGCAAATTTGGGGTTCAGCAATGGTGGCTCGCGACAGCTAATAATCTCAACGGCATTTTTAAGAGTGAGCAAATTTATATGAAGCACCAACATGTATACAATGAGATTTTCAAAGGCAATGGCTGTTACCCTCACGAAATAAATAAAAAATTAACGAATTTAATTATAAGGAATTCGATCAACGTGGTTGAGAATAGGCCATGCAGTATCCATCTTTTGCCATCTTCTTGCAGGAAAAATAACTGAAGGAATCGTTCCTACGGAGCTCTAGATCATAAAGCTCATTGTATCTTCACAAGCTTACTGTCTGAGCCAAGCGCTTTTGAGCTATGGCTTTGGCAACTGCTTCACAACGCTTCTTTGCCTCATTGTTTTCGGTGTCATCGCTAGCCCAACTATCCTCCTCTTCATCGGTCTCCGGTTTCATGGACGAAACAGGCGTCTAGAAAAAAGAAACATATTTTTCATTACCGGTAATTTTATTTTTTCCCTTAAAGTTTTTTTATTTTCTGCTTTAATACGACTTTGTTTAATGAACATGTTTATCATTTGAGTAGGCAAACTGTTAAGATCTTCGTTATGGTTAACGAAACGGAAGGTTACTGTCTTCTTCAAAATACGATGTTATTCTAGTTAACAAAGTCTCCTCCTGTATTATCCTTTAATATTACCAATGAAATATTACAACGCTTTGTGAACAAGCCACTTAACTAAGAGACTAGCACCGACCAAATTGAAATGTCACATGGGCCTCTCAGGCAATTATTTATTCATATCTGCCCAGATACATCACTGAACGGAAAACACCGCTTACTTAAGAAAGTAATTGTGTTTGGTTTTAACTCTAAAGAAACTTATAATGCTCACAAAATGTCCCTAAATTGACGGGGACTGCCAATTTTTTATACTCCAAAAATATGCTGGTTTTTCAGATATTATAATGCAATAATTTATACTGAATAAGAAGTAATCTTAAGGTACCAATTACATAGCTGACGTCCCTTCTCAATTGGATCGACTAAACTTATCAAATGAAGAAACGTACTACCGCATTGAGTACCGTAGAAAAGAAAGGTTGTGATTTTGAAGTAGGAACTTACACGGAAAACATATTCTACAAATTAATCTCAAATTACTGAAGATTATGTAGGACAGAGAAGTTTACTCGAAGAATTCTATAATTCCAGCCAATATTGACATCTTTTTATCAGAATATAAATAATAAGACGTGTTTGACAGTAAATCTAGACCAGCAATTAAAGAAACTAAAATGCTTTAATGAGATCTGTGTTTAAAGGACAATTAAATGCAGCTAAGAGATAAGGCAGAAGTAAATCGGACGCGCACACACATTTTCTGTAAAGTTGCTAACCTTTAATGCAGTTGCATGCAAATCGGTAGATTCCAATGTTATGTTTCGTGTGTATTCGCGTTCAGCTTCCCACGACTGAGTGTTTTTCTTTGGGGCTGACGAGGTGGGTGAGGATATAGAGCTCTTGACAGCATCTGGTGGACCGGTCACGCCCACAACTACATTGATAAACAAGAAGTTCTATCAAGATCATGAAAAAATATCTCAATCAGCCAACTTGATACGAAAATGTAAGTGGCGTCTCATGGAGAGACAGTTGTATTGTAATCGGTCATTTTATTGAAGGAAATCAGGTTCAGTTTTACATTAGTCACAGTTTTGAAATACTCGAATAGAGAAATCTTGAATAATGCGCCGAGGAGAAACCAAAATATGCTAGAATGTAGCTACCTGTTGAATACTTGATAATCCTATTTTTAAACGTTGAATGGCCCTTCTTTAGCCCGCCGTAGAGCTTAGCCCTGGACGTTCGGAACCACAGATTTGGCCTTGATATTCTTGACAAAAAACGTTTTGGTCTGCTTCCAGACGCCATGAGTTTACTTTCGTCGGTAGACTCCGGCATCTTACAGGCATAAATGAAGCAGACACGCACGATCCAACGCTACCTTAAGGTGAACTCTGCAAGTGCACAAAATTCCGAAGTGTAAGCTGCCGCGAATGACACAGAGAGCAGGTCTCAGGGGCTACCCACCAGTAGTTATTTGAAACACAACGGTTGCCTGGCTACTATCAATAACTCTAATCTTATTTCGAAAACGCTTATGGCATTCCGAACCAGCATAACATTGCCAACTTAACATAACACGGACTATACGAGGCTGTTCAAAAGAAAATGGGGTAAAATCAAGAATGTGATGGAGAAAATTTAAAGCAGTATATAAAAAGATTTGCTTTGTTTCAAATGTATTTACGAAGGAAACCATCCGTCGTGAATTCGGCTTACATCCCTAAACAAGCAGGAGTTCAAAAAGTCATGCCAGAAACTTTTTCTTATGCTTGACGCCTAAAAAACAAAAACAGATTCTGCAAAATAATCGAGTTTATTTAAGATAGTTATCCCAATGGACTCCTACGCTGTCCAATCTGATACACTGGCAGGGAGTGCAGAACCTGGTGGAATCTCAAACCATTAAAAAACATGTAGCAGTGCGCTTCAGTTTGGAGCGGTTAGAACAAAGTCGGTTCGAAAATTTCAAACTCATTCACTACGGCCAACCGTGCTTCATCTGTGGGTAAAATTCGGTCTTGGATGGCTAGTTAACGATGTACCTTGGGGTAGCGTATTCTATAGCCCAGGTTCAATCACCCGAAATTGACATCTTCCAAAAAATATTAATTCTCTTAGTCAATTTTCTGATTATACTTGCAAACGATGAGCTAAATACACTGAAGGTATTTTGACAGTGTAAGAGGAATAAGGTGATCGCATGCTGGATATTGAGATGCCTTTAAACATACTGCTAACCTGATTTCAACAGATCATTTTGTTTAACTTTACCTGGGCTCAGGTAAAAATTTCACTGTGCAAATGCAGTGTCCATGCTGTTCACTGTTATTATGCAAATAACATTGTTCTTTTTAAATTCATGTTTCATTAACAGTTTTATGCATTCTGCACACTAAAATCACCTGAAAACAATTTTGTGACTTCACTACTTTTACTGCATCTTTTCTATCGTTTAAATCGAGATTTTAATAGCTGCTGTCGTTCCCTCGGAATATACTGATCGATTGATCGGCTATCCATCAGAGCTGAACTTATCGATATGCATTAATGCAGAGTATGACTTCTCGTAAGGAAAGCGGATAAGGGGAAAAATATGCGGAATACGCATTGGAACATCTCTGTCGCATTATTGTCAAGTGTTTTGCTAACATTTTAGCTCGTTGGGTGCGCTTGTGTGATCGTGCTGCTGAGTGCAAAAATATACGAATGTTTACTAAAAAGGGAATAAGTTACGTCCGTAGGAGAATTCCACGTACCCGAACCCGACAGGCTGACAACCCGATTTTCTGTCGCCGACTTCCGCGGTACGAGCCGTGGCCTTGAGGTTTCTGTTGCTTCTTCCTCCACCTCCTCATAACCAACATCTTCTTCACATAACTTCGGCTGGTTCGCTGACTCGCTTGCATCCTCAACGGAACAGACGGCAGTTCGCTGGTCCTGATCTCCCTGAG